GAAAGAGTGACCGCTGGCCTGTAAATGAGTGAAAACTGCAGAGTTCTGGCCATTAGATGTAGCTCGTCTGTGTTGGGACATTCTTTTGAACAATGATGACATTGTAGCTGTTTTGGTTAATTTTTTTTATCATATTCTTATTAAAACTTTTTAAAAATATAACTGTCCAGATTGTACAATCTGCATTTGTTTCACCAAACTTTGTTTAGAACAGATGATATTGTCCATTGACACAGAACCTCAGCTTTTCCAAAGTGATGGTATCCAATGTGTTTTWTGTTTCTACAAGTGATGGAGGCTCATCAAACACCCACTTCATCATCACTGCTTTCATGCCTCCATGAGGAGGAAGCTTACTGTGTCCTTATATGTTTTAATGAATCAGGCAGAAGTCCCAGCAGACACAATGGATCAGGCTTTAGCTGTTATCCAGTCACACTGCTGACCTCTGTGTGTACAGCCTGCCAAAACTGTTGAACCTTCTCACATTCACAGATACACTGGATCGTAGTCCCCTTCAGTACTTTGCATTTTAAACAGTTTGCAGTGGCCCATGTTGTATATTTGCTGTAGGGTTGGGCAACACTGGCAAAAAAATTAATCACGATTGATGTTTTTCTGACAATTAATTGCACACGATACGATTATACCCAACCCTAATTTGCTGTACATCTATGGAGATATATAAACTTAATGCAACATATTATAGTACATTTCATTATATGTGTAACATATTTATATCTTGGAAGCCAATAGAAAAACATCCTTCCATTTACTGGGGTTAAATGTTGTTTTCAGAAGTGTTTCTAAGACTATTTTAACCTTGATAAACTGTCATCAGTAAGATGTTGTAGGGTTGAGTAAAACTTTGAGACCATAGTTTTGATTCAGGCTGTCCAAAAGTACCTTCTCAACTAAAAGTCTTCAGGAAGGCTAAGGWTATTCATTTTGGAGTACACACAGTGTCCTACCTGAAGATATTTATAGAGTTCAGTTCTGGGCTGGTTATAATGAGTTCTCACTGTTTCAAATGATTTAAATTTCCCTTTACCCCATAGGTCATAAACACTATAAATACCTGATTCCTCCCATTTTTTTAAAATTTGGCTCCAGTATCCCCCTTTGATCACTCTGGATAATTTACAAGTGATGTAAGACAACAGAATGTTGTGACCCCAATTTTTTTTAAATGCTGCCAAGATTTAATGACATTTGTAATCATGAAGCTTTCCCTGGCCATAACTGGTAAATCTTGTCTACATTTGTCCYGAATATTTAATGGGGAAAAGGGATTGAATAGCACTGTTTCTATCTCATATGATGGCACTGTTTGTCGACCAGCCCACACTAAAATAATTTATCTTGCAGTGACATTAAATAATGTGCTTCATTGGGTCGGCCCCATCCCCCCACTGTTTAGAAAATTATATGATATCTAACACACTGACGCTAAATTGCTGTAAATGCACAAATTAGGCTTTTGCACATTTATTGGGATAAAAAGATTTTAAGGTGTTTTCGTAGAAACTTYCAACTAGACTTATTATGTAAAATGTCCATGATAAAAACTAAGGCTTGTCTCAAATAAAACATTTAACAGATTATGTATCTAATGAAAAAATAGACACATCAATAAGTCYGTCCTCTGGACGAGTTCTTGTGTCTGAGGAGTTTCAGGTAAACTCAGCCTAATAAGGACTGCCTCCACATGGTGGACAAACAGGTATAACAAACATTAACACTAAGACCCCGTGTCCTCATATGTGGACATTACATTTTTGCCTCTACCCATGATGCATCATTTTATTCAACTTGAACCCATTAGCCTCATTAATAGACACTACCAGCTCCCTCTAGTGGTGCCATGACAACATTACACTCATGTGAGTGAAAACAAAATGACGGGGATCCCAGTAAGAAGCTTCTACAACAACTCTGGTACGAAAAATGACCAAAGTAAAAATCAAGTTATATTCCACACTTGAAACCAACGTARTTATGCACAGTTATATCTTTAGCTTCATAAGACATGCACAAATAATGTTTTTTAACAACTGAACAAAGTACAATGTCGGTGAAYATAAAGTCCTCATTTGAGGACATTGGGACTATAATGTCATTATTAATTGTGCCATAAGTTAGGATAAACCTGCCAATAAGTAGAAGAGTTTACAAATGTAAACGGTGTGTGTGGTATATATGGTCACAAATGTTAAACTAATCTGAAACTAGAACAGTTCACAAACACAAACAGTCCTTCCAAGTGGTCCATTTGTTCAACCAATTTATTAAACCAATGATGTTCTGGTGTCATTACGTCATGTAATATGTTCTTCAAACTGAAGAGCAATCTGAAAGATGATGATGATGATGATGATGATGATGATGATGATGATGATGATGATGCTCTTCACTAATCTTGCTCTGGTCAGCAGCTGGCTGCTTGATTGCCAAAATAACCAGGAAAATGGAACCAGCAGAAAGGCTATCATGAAGTTTCTCAAGTTTTGTATAATTATTATATTTATTAGGTCCTAATAATCCCAAGTATCTTACAGAAAGAAAAAAATGCACATCCAGAAAAAGCTTGGGTCTCAGGAGGTAAACATGCAAAGGAGGACGATCAGCCTAACAATAGATCGTTCGTGCCTTGATGAACTCTATTGTTCATTGAGGTTCATGTGCACCAACCACCTGACCATGGTTGATTATCACCTGTTGTTCACAAAGTGCTGAGTCATGCAGTAACAGTTCTGTAASAGAGGGACAACTGGACACGAAGGCCTCCATCCCGTTTAATGYTGGACGGTTTTTCTTCACAAAAATGGCTTCCTTTACTCCTCTCTGAAACCAYRGTTCCTCTCTGCATCAGGACATGTATCTAATGCTTGTGSTTTTGGTTTTTAAGACTTTACTCTGCAACTCAGGGCTTCATTCATCTCCAAGTGTAAACCTTGCTTTGCTGTAAATAAGGACTCATTTAGGTCTGTATAATTTAGTACAAGAAAGTATCATCTCCTTCTCTACACGTATTTATACATATATGTTCTGTTTTATGTTAACCCCTGAAATTTGAATTAACTGAAATGTCACTACATAAACTAGAGTTTAAACAAATAATTCTAAAGAGGCATAGATATTTGCTCAGTTCAAATCTGACGTAGGAAAGATGGTGAAAATGACTCTTTTAAGGTTGCAAACTCCTGTGACATGAGTATCAAATTTACTTAATAAAACTGTCTTATTTATTTACAAAAAATCACATAAAATAGTTCTAGTTTTACTGATAAAAGTATCTTTTCAGTCTATTATTTTGCTCTAGTTCTGGAGCATTTGTTAAACAAAAATAATTATAACACACCCATTTGTTCCTCTCTCAGTGATGGGCTGAACAAGAGATGTCCGAACACATTGTTGGTTTGAGACTTTTCACAATCTGTTGGCAGCAGAAATGTGTTAGTTATAGATCGATGGCTGCCTTATAATTTGATTAACAGTAACTTTAAAATGCAGCTAAACCTTTGGTGTCGTTAGAAGCGTGGTCTGCACACGATGCTGTCAGATCTCAAAGACCAAGGATGATGACAAGGATGTTCATTTAGCTTGCTGTTGCTCTGCCACAGAGCCCGACGGGGCAGAAAATGCATCCAAGAACAAAAGAAGTTGACAGGAGGCAAAGGGCCACTGGTTGAGGAGAGTAGGGGGTAATGTAAAAACTCCTCCTRCAATCAAAGCGTGCCTCAAAAGGCAGGAAATGACCAGCTTTGTTCTCAGGAAGTTCCCCGGTACTGCTAACCTTACATCAGCGTTACACACTGTGGTCTGCTGGGACACTGYTGGGGCTAATGTCTTAGCATGTGTGGAAGCAGACTGATTTTATAGACTTACTCATGGTCCACGTTGATATAGAAAATACAAAAACAAACACACAACAACAACAACAACAACAAAAGAAAACACTGAGTTGGTTCAAAATGTTTTTTAAATAAGGAAAACTTTGGTTATTAATACTTGAATATGTTTTGCTCTTATACTGTTTTAAGAACTCTGTAACATGTTTTTAATACAAGCCAGTTGTTGTACAAGGTTTGTTGTGCAGTTATTCAAATCACATCACAGAAATTTTGCAATGTTAAATATGCTTAAAAATCAAAATAAATTGTCAGTTACATTGTACTTTTGTCTCTAAATGTCCTGATATGTCTCAGTAATCTAGGTAGAAAAATTAAAAAGTATAAATTAAGTAMGTCTCTGGATGTGTTTTTGTCTCTAAGCACAGTATACCCACTACAAAAATGTAGCTGCCACATTGTCTCATCATGTACCAGGCATCTTGAGGGACAGGTGAACTACAGAAGCCCCAAAGAGTGCACAGGTGAGGAAAAAAATCTTGATTTTCCCAAAATTAAATCTTCATAAATTCAAATTAATCAATTAAATCGATGTATTGCCCAGCCCTACTTTTAATGGTACCAGTCCAGAAATGGGACCTTAAAGTAACTCACCACAGAATCAGGAAAAACCCAGGAGTCACAGATCTGTTTTGTGCTCGTTGGCAAAAATTTATTAAAGTGAACAAAAAGTAAGAGTGTATTGAACTTTAAAAATGTTCTGAATAATCTGAATCAAAAACTAAAAAAGTCAAAAAGGAATGTAACTAAGATAAATACAAATGATCTAAACCTCCCATCGTCCCCTGGCCAAAATGACCCAAGGACTGTCCATATCTTATAGCAAAGATCCCCAATAATCCTCCAAAAACCTCCTTTTTTGTTGTGCATYGARAGSGTTTTTCTAAACTTGRCATGTTTATTCATAAACAAACATAATCCTCCTTCCCTGCATCTAGCCTAGGAACTAACTACAGATTACATCAGTGATTCCCAACCAGGGGTACGTGTACATATTACAGGGGGTACGTGGAAAAATATCCCAGGTGTGTAAAAAAATATATAAAAATAAGAGTGAGATATGTAGGGTCCTATGTTTTCTACACAGAATCACATAACTGACACAAAATCAAAAGAATCCTGTATAAAATGTGGAATTTCATGGAATTTACTCATTTGGGGTATTTTTTGGTCTCTGCTGCATCCTGCACCTGCCATTACCTGGTTTATTTATTTAATTACTTATTCACATTCAAGGCAACGTTTTTTTTCTTTATGTTTAATTTGAGTTGAAAAAGATAAAATGCCTGATAATTTAAAATTCTAGGGGCTTAAATAAATAAGTTTCATTTAATAATCATTATAGTTTTGGAGAATCATCATTACGTTTGACTGAGGGGTACTAGTGGTATGACAAAATGGCTCAGGGGGTACACAAGTCTAAAAAGGTTGAGAACCACTGGATTACATCATTTCATGATAGGATATAATGTAACAAAGGCCTCTTCTTCTACATGAAAAGAAAAACAAAGAATCATTTTACAAACAAAGACTTGGTGAAACAGGTTTTCTTCTTGAGCCTCCTCGCTCCTCCTGGTCAGCTGACTGGTTCATCACTGCATGCCATCCTTATTCAGCTGAGACTTCCTGTTCCCATGATTCTCCTCTCAGGCCTGCTCCAAGCAGCTGGAGAAGGGAGGAAATGATATCAGACCTCACAAACACAGGTTGACCTCCACAGGCTAACACCAGTGTTCTGACGATCTGTGGTACRTCGTCAGATGTTCCTACCGTAGCTTGGCTCGATGCAGAGCTGGTGCGACCCATGAAAACTGCTACCATCATGTTTACAAAAATATTACTGTTTTGTCACAGTTAAAACTTGTGTTTAACCCTCTGAGGTCAACGCCCGCTCCAGAGCAGGCAAAGACGTGATGCATTTAAAGGGCTACTGCAAAAAAAGTGGCAGCATACAGAGTGTTCATTTGAACTGGGTTGGACAGCACAGACGTCTAACTTTATAAAAGTAATGTTTTATATTGTTTTTTATTTACTTACAAATAAAACCAGATTRAATGKATAATTTTTGCCATAATGTTGTGCACATTTTTACGCATTTAGTGCGCATTCACAGAATGTTTTGCGACAAYGAAAGTGCTTGAATGCACCATGAAACCTATTTTTCCCATTCCCTCAAACACACCACATTTCTGAAACAAATGAAAACAGTTTGTCCGTAGGCTTGTAGAGAGAGGTTCTGGCCGGGTCGAGGACAGATTGATTTCGACATTTTGGATTTAGCTAGTAGCGGATTAATTTTTAGACCAGACGTGCGTGAGTGTGTGTGTGTGCAGTGTTTGTAGTAGTATTGTTAGTCTGTGTGTCAAAATGAGTCGTTGTTACATGACTGTGGAGCAAGCTCTGAAGTACTGAGCTTTAAGAAGAAGAGGAAGAGGATGATAACTGTGCACCAGTGGACGATTCAGACTTGGGGGTTTGATTTTGAATATAAGGTTAGTTCTTTGTTTGTTTGTTTGGCATGGAATATGTAAAATATTTTAATCAGAACAGAGGCAGACTGCACCACATTATACAAGCTGATTTCATCTCCAGGTAGATGATCCCTCTATTTTCTTCGGGAAGACAAAGAAGAGGAGGAGGAGTTGCCTACCCACTCTGTCAGGCACACAACACAAAAACCACAACGAAGCCGGACCAGGACCAGATCCAGACCCCCGCTGGCTGTAGCAGCAGAGTGTTAGGTTGAGGTGCAGAATGAACCCAAATCCGGACGGAGGATAAGATTTAAATAAAAAGATTTATTTAAACAAACAAAACAAAGAGCTGTCAGGGCAGCTAAAATAAAACTAAAACTCTGAGGGACAACGAGGACAACAAAACAGTAGGAGTAATCCATGTAATGATCCAGCGAGGAATGAACTGAAGAGAAAGGTATTTATACAGACAGAGGAATGAAGAAATGAGGAACACCTGGGAGCAGGACTGATTGGAGATGACTGAACAGSTGAGGATGATTAAACAGCAGGAACCAGATTGAGGGGAATGTGTGATAACAATGAGGGAACACAAGAGGGAGATAACACAGACTGACAAATAACACACATCCTCACAGTACCCCTCCCCTCAACGAATCGTCACCTGACGATTAAACGGACTAGCACGGGTGGGTGGTAGTGGGTACAAAACACAAAGACAGGACGGAGGGCACGAGACCAAAACAAAACAAAACCCGACAGGGAACCCCTGGGAAATAACACAAAAAGGTCACTAGATGGCTCTAAGGCACATCTGGAGGGCAGAAAGTTCTGGTGGGCGCCCAGGAACCCAGCAAAGGCGAGGAGGGGGCCCAGGTGGGCGGCCGTGGACGCGGCCACAGCGGAGACGGAGCTCTGGAGGGCAGCCGTGGACCCGACCGCGTCGGTGGCAGAGCTCTGGCGGACGGCCTGAAGCTCGGCCACGAAGATACTCAGGAGGGGCCGGCTCTGATGATTCAGGAGGGGCCAGCTCTGATGACTCAGGAGGGGCCGGCTCGGGAGACACTGATGCAGGGGCCAGCTCGGGAGACACTGATGCAGATGAAGCAGGACCAGATGAAGGTGACGAGAGCTCAGGTGGGGTTGTCTTGAGGACCTCAGGAACAGAGGCCAGCGTGGAGACTCAGGCAGACCCGGGGACATCACAATTAAACCCATGGGCTCAGTAGACTCAGGTGCTGGTTCTGGCTCTGACTCTGGCTCTGTGGGCTCAGGAGTTGGTTCTGGCTCAGTGGGTTCTGGTACTGTCGTAGGCATGATCAACACCTCCACCAGAGCTGCAGTCAGGAACATGACCGCAGTGGCCAGGGTGGTGACCACCACCTCTTCCTCCCCTCCAAGACCCTCCACACAGGAGACGGCGGCGTCGACCCTCTCTGGAGCGCAGGAGGCATTGGAGGCGTCGACCCTCGTCGGAGCGCAGGAGGCAGTGGAGGCGTCGACTCTCATAGAGGTGCAGGGAGCACGTGAGGTGGAGGCGTCCTGCCTCGCCGGAGCAGAGACTAAGGTTGAAGCATCCCACCTCGCCGGGGTGCAGTCGGTGCTAGGTCTCATAGACCTTCTCGGAGAAGGCACAGGGGTGAGAGGTGTCTGGGACTTCCTTGGAGTTGGTGCTGACAGAGGCGGTGTCCGGGACCCTCTCGGAGAAGACGCTGGCGGGCATGACGGAGTCTGAACTGGAGAGGGGAGAACCATCTGCCTGGCCGAGCAGTATCCGATGTACTTGGGGCAGAATGGGTCCAACTCTGGGTCAAATTCTGGCTCACTGTCACAGAGCTCAGGATGGAAATAGCCAGACGGCTTGGGAGGAGCCGCAGCTTTTTTCCGTCGTCAACGGTGGCGCTGAGAAGGACCCGATGGTGGAGTGGGCTTCAGCGCCAGATGAGTCCCCCAAAACTGCATGTTCCTCTGCTCCTCCTCCTCCACTAGAAGAGGTGACGGGAGGACCTCCACTTCCCGGTCACAGCCCCTTCGTCCCTGTCTCCTGGCAGGGTTCTTTCTCTCCCCCCCCAAATGCCAAAAAATAATTCTCACTACTCAAAAAATCAAAATTATTCATCCTCATGGTGAGTTCTTGTCGTGGCTGGATCATTCTGTTAGGT